AAAAATTCCTTTCTTCTTATTTCAATAAACTGTTCTGCGTAAATTGTAGAGCTTTTCACGTTGCATATTGTGGTATATTTTATTTTTTTTTACAAAAACATATTAGTTGATAAAAAGATGAAATAAGGAAAAACGAATTTCTCGTTCGCATAGAAACAAATGATTTTTTCCCAGCGTCGAAAATTGGTCGCACACAATTTTGCTTCTTTTGAAAACAAAAAGTACAAAAGTAAAATAAGCTTTACTTTACACATTGTAGTTCTTTTCACGCTGCATCTCCTGGTATATTTTGTTTTTCTAAAACAACTTATTAAGTGATGCAAAAATGAAATGGAAAAAGGCCGTTTTTTTGTCCCAGGGAGACTTCAAGTATACGATATCTGATGAAAATTCGAGTGAAAAGATACAGAAAGAAGTTAAGTCATCTGTTGTTCTGAAAAATAGTCGAAACTCATAGTCCTAGTTATATCTAGGTAATAACATATTTGACACAATTTTTAAGGAGAATTTCTTAGAACTGTCTTTGTCGGAAAAATCTCTTATTTTGGTTATGTAATGATGCAGCAATTGTCGTCGCATATATCAGCCATAAGTAGAGCTGTCACAGTCAAGAAACACCATAAAAAGATAAATATTGAAAGATCGCTCTTTCACAGTTATTATTACTTTAAGTGAAAATTATTTCAGATTAAATACCTGACAAAAAATAATAATCACTGTGAAAGAACAGTTTTTGAATATTTATCTCTTTGTAATTTTATTGAGATCGTATCGTTCGAAGTATGGCTGATGTATGACATTAAAATTCTCTTATATTCATTCAAAACTCTCTTGTGTTTCTTACAAATCATTTCAATAATGTTATGACATATACATAACAAGTTAATTTTGTAAAACATTACAAAAACGAGAACAGTAGAAACAAGTGGGAAAGTTCTCATCGATAGCTCAAATGTAAATACTATTCTCTTCTGTTTCTTTATAATTAATAGTACATATAAAGTATGTAAAAAATACATTCGTATTTATCCAAAACTCTATCATTGGTTCTCATTATAATGTTATCACCATTTTCATCAACTAATGACAACAATGATTCAAATATCATTGATTTATTGTATCATTTATGTAAAGAAAATGAAATAGAACAAGTTCAAAGTATTCTATCAGATATTGATAATATAAATATTATAAATAAAATTCAAAATTCAACTGGTTCAACATGTTTGCATGTGGCATGTTATTATGGACATCGACATATTGTACAACTTTTATTAGATTATGGAGCTCTACATTTCATTAGAAATTTACGACACAACTTAACACCTTATGAAGAAGCATATACAGATGATATAAAAAAGCTATTTGTAGAACATCGCAAATTATTTTCAAATAATGATTTTGATTATGATTATATTGAATGGGCAGTAGTAGGAGATGATCTTCTTGGAAAACGACGTGAATTTCGTCAAGCTATTGATTTATATAAAACCTATGATAATCATCATTTAATATCAAAATTATTAGCTGAAGTTATTCACTATTATTTAAATGAATATTTAGTAAATCAAATTAATGATAATGGCAATCCCGAAGATCACATTACTCGTCAACAAATTGAAACTATTGAAGCATATTTTAAAGAAGCTATAGAAAAACAAGATTATTTAACATATTTTATAAAAGCTTATACATTAACAAATTTTTTTTATAAAGTATTAAATAAACATTTGGCTCTATATATATTACAATATTTTGTTAAAACAAAAGACTTTTCATCCAATTATCGTCTTGTAAATTGTCTGGTTCACATTGTTACACTCTTAATTTATCATCCAAATTTACCTCAATATCAATATCAAGGTTTATGTTATCGTGGTATGAGAATAACACAAAATGATTTAGATCAATATCTCTCAAATCAATATATATTAAATCGTTCATTTTTATCAACGTCAATTGATCGTGAAGTAGCTGAAATGTTTGCTGGTGAAGGCCAACAATCCAAAATGAGATATATTCCTAAAGATCATTGTGCATTACAATATTCATGTTTATGTCAATATTTAATAAAACAAAATTCAACAGCTATCAATATATAAAGTTTATCAACGAGACCGGATGAAAAGGAAATTTTAATTCTTCCGTTTACTGTTTTTAAAGTAATAACAATTAAACAAAATTATCTTGATGATCCAACAGCATCAATTTCAATTGAAATTGAATTAGAGGAATGTGAAGATCCAAATGATAATAAAAATGAATCAGAAAGTAAGATGCTTTTCTCCATGTATCTCGAAAAAAAGATTAAACTCTTTCGATTCTATTTGTCAAAAATTTTCAGGTAGCGAGACACCGAGAACATCATCACTTTCATCATCTGCTGATGATATAAAAGATGTCGAAGAATATCAAAAGTTTAAACAGCGAAAACATCGTCTTTATGTCATCATTGAATTTTTGGTGTTCGCTATTCTTCTGGCTTTAACTTTTACATTGATTTTTACTTTTGTTATTAGAAAAAATCCCACGAACAATACTACAACCATGATAACGCCTGCCACAGAATCATTGCCACCAGGTAAAACTGAGCAAAAAAAAAAACTTGCTATAGAAGGTTCTAAAAAGCTAAAATATGCAACCTCTCCCCAACTTCTCCGGCGGAAGTATATTGGCTTTTAAACAAAGTTATTAAAGTTCATTTTTTCCTTATTAACAATTAAAACCACTAACTTTGATTTCAGATTGTCTAGTCAAACTACTAATCCCGTATCTCATAGACCATGCGAAAGCATGTAGAGTTGATTTCTCAGTTAACAGATTAATAAAACTTGATAGATTTAGAGTAAACTATTCTGTGCAAAAGAATACTAAAAAATTCTATTCTCTGTTGAACAAGTACAAAATAGACATGTTTGATGTTCACTTCTCGTAGATTGTCCCAATATATCCGAACGATCTAGCTGGAATCCACGTCCGTATAGAAGTCGTGAAAATTTAAAAACATTACCGGTTACACATATTGTGGTACTCAACCCGCTAGCTAAAAATTCAATTGTGAATCAACAAGATTGTATTAAAGAAATACAAGGATTTCAAGATTATCAAATGGATATCCTAGATTTTAGTGATATTGCTTATAATTTTGTGCTGTGTAATGATAATAATGACCAACGACAAATTTATACAGGCAGAGGATGGGAATCTACTGGTGCACATTGTAAAGGTTATAATACAAAATCATTGGGTACGAATGAATTCTTCTTTTAATTTTCTAGAGCAGCGGATCTTAGATTTTTGTCAATTTGATCATGTCATAACTTAAAAAAATTTCATAGAATTGAAAACCCAAAATGAGTTTATGAAAGTGCAACAATCTACAAACTCTTTGGGCACGCATCAAAATTGTCAATGCACCCTTGAACAGGCATAAGAATAGCCAATGTATCCTTGAAGAGTACATTGACAATTTTGATGTGCGTCTGAGGCGTTTATAGATTGTTGCATTTTTATAAACCTATTATAGATTTTTTATTCTACAGAGATTTTTTTGAGTGCAATAATTAATATCTTATATGAATTTTGATGTGTATGGTTATACGAGTCAGTTCATGAAAAAATCATAAAAGTTTGGAGATTCAATATCTTTGAAAACGACTTGAACCAAAATTCATGAAACTGTGACTTCCACTATAGGTCTTAAAATGAGCAAGATCTGATAATTTTCATTGAGCACGTTCCTTGAACATCGGTCGTGGCTTAGATGGACTGACTCACAAGGGTTTTTGTTGCTGAAGTGTTCTATTGCTTATCAAGCTAGCCGTTCGAGATTTCAAATCATGTTCTGTTGTTTTCTAAAAGGTATTGGCATTATTGGCAATTATACCAGTATAAAATCTTTAAACGTATTTAAATCATTAATTCAATGTGGTATTATGAAAGGTGATATTATAAAAATTTTTACATTGGTTCGACAAAAGGATTCAAAAGATATTTACGAATATTATCTGGAATATTTTCGAAATGATACCGATTTTCAATATAGCAATCAAGCCAGTAACGAACAGTTTTCGTGCGCATCTTAAAAAAAAGCTTGTTAGCGCAGCCTCTTTGTGGCTGAAATGTGGAACTCACATATCTTCTTTGGTTTCATTATACTAATGATAGAATCAAGGGGGAAACGGCGGACTTTTGTACTTGAAGTAACTTTGGCTACTTTAAAGTACTTTAAGCTACTTTAAGCTACTTTGGAGCAACTTTAAGTTACTTTGAAACGACTTTAAGCTACTTTAAACTACTTTAAAGTACTTTAAGCTACTTTACGCTACTTTAAGGTACTTTAAGCTACTTTGAATACTTTGAATCACTTCGAACTACTTTAAGTCCTTTTAAAGCACTTAAAGGCACTGCAAAATATTTTAACATAACAGGCATTCAAAGTAAGCCACGGCCGATTACTATAGAGGCCGCTCAGTCGATATCCCAGGATTTGACTCGCTTTAATATATGAGCCAATCCACGTAAGCCATGAGCCATAGTGTTCAGTCCATATCCTCGGATTCGGCTCATTTTAACTTATATGATAGAGGCAAGTGTTTGATGAGTTTCTGTGAAAGCCCATTCAAGAAAAAATGGAACCCTT